ACTACTTTGGCTCTGACATGTGCAAAGCCCTTTGTGAGGCTCAGGGGATATGTCTAGGGGTACATCTGCAGCTGCCCCGTTTCAGTTTGCCGTAGGCTGTATGTGTTCAGCATCTACCAAGTTCCTAAGGGATAGCAGCTTGTGCATTTTCCTTGTTTAATTTATGAGCAAGTCTTGAACAGACTTTTGATATGTGAATCTTATGTAGAAAACACAGAGGAGTTACTGAATCACAACAGATCTGCTTTTATTTTGCATTCTTAGAGGAGACTTCCTGCCATTTAACCAACCTGCTCGAAATCTCTCTAATTCACTCGAGCACTCCGAGTGTCTTTGTGTACACAAACTTACCTAGAATGCAGTCCTGATCAATTTAAGTATTGATACAAGTTGTTTGAATAGCCTAGGGCATGAGTCTGCGCTGCCTTATTTATCCTATGTTATCTGTCTGTGTTTCCTCTCTTGCCCATGTCAAATGTAGTGCAACTGATGCCTCCATTAGCAAAGGCTAAGCAACCTCACACTGCTGCAGAGCAAGGATGTGTCCACGGGCTGTCTTTATGGACTATCTATCTAATGTGCCGTAAATTCCCCTTTTGGCTTATCTTAAGGTAAATCATGTCAGACTGAGCTAAAAATGTATATCTGGCATAGACTGATGTAAAAGTGTCACGTTTCTGTGCCAGTTGATTAAATCAATTTATTATCACAATTTAAGTGCAGCTTTCTCCTTCGTTCAGGCTAATAAACAGCAGTTCAAGTTTAACTATAGGCAAAATTCCCAAAGAAATAGGAATCAAACCAAACCAAACCGAATAACATTTATACTGCAATAAGTAAAATCCCTAAGATTTTGGTTATATCAGATATGCTTATGCAGACAAAGCTTTCACAGTGCATATGCTCTTATATTAATGTAAACCTGGCTTGTATCTGTTTAACTTTTACCTTTAAGAGAGATTTTAATGGCTAAAAGTGTTCAAAGAGTCCTCTATGGACATTAGTTGTTTTTTTTTAAAAAAAGTGATTCAGCTCAATTCACATACCTAGTTTACATTAAACTATGGAACGTATCCGTGGTAAGAGCTACATGGATACCCCTTTTAGGTGGTTTTGTTTGAACTTCCGTTGACTGGAATCGAGCACCACAAGTTTTGCACCCAAACACTGAATCTCCTTGCAAGACCCGCACACCCGGAGGGCAGGTCAGAGCATTAGCAAACCGCTTCCCCTCCTCCTATCTGCAGCATAAGGTGACAACAGGTCTCCGTGGTGATCACTTTAAAGAAGACAAGATCAAGTATACATTCAGTTGCTTATAAATATAACCAGGGAAAGGAATCACTGATGACAGCACTATGCAGGTTCCAACCAGGTGAAACTGTGGAGAAAACTCTGGAGAAAAGCAGGCTTTGCAACACAGTCTCAGTAATGCCAAATCTTGTCAATGGCTCTAGCCGTTTTATCTCCTCTTTACCAGCTTATCTCTAGATAAGACTAAAATTCAGAATTTATAACAGACTGATTCACAACAGCTTGTGCATTGGGACATGTTTGGCAGTACGTCTCTCACAGGATTTTTTCCCCCGCATAGAAAAGGTCTGCTAAATATTCATGCTTTCACCACTGAAAGAATCCTGATTCTTGGCCAAACCAAAGCCTATTAGCAGCAGAACAGGAGGGCTTCTTCCCTCCGTGTTGCCCTTCTGATTCCCTCAGGTTTTGCTTCACACCTGGTCTCTGAAAACAGATGCTCTTGAATTCAAATTACTCCATTCTGAAAATGGGTAATATTTATTGGATATTGGGGGGAAAGATTTTTTTTTTAACTTTTCTTTAGACTTATGCTTTTATAAGGTTTTCTTATAGTGTCCAGCACCAACTGTCTGTCACAAGCGCTGAAAGATAGCTGTGATTTGACCAAAATAAAGCACAGATTTTTCTTTGACAGATATCTCACAGAATTATATTTGGTACTAATTAAAACACATTTTATTTTTTGCAAGAATTCAAATTTGTTGGAAATATGAGGAAATAATTTTGAGGTGATAATGAACAGATTTATGGAAACTTTTTTTTTTTTTTTAATCCCAAACACAGGGAATGTTTTTAAAGAATTCAGTTTTTCTAAGAAAAGGCTTTTGTGGTCTGGTTTTCTGCTGAAGTCTCTCTCATCCAGCAGCATACATGAAATGAGCGACTCCGTACAGCCTTCCTGCTGTCACAGAAGGGGACACGGAGGCAACGTCCAGCTGCTAGACCTCCTACGAGCAGGGAGGGCACATGAGGAACTGACAAGGGAGTGGACTTCACTGCTGGTGGGAGCTGCCATTAAGAGCAGACTGCCTACCCCTACTTCAGAAAGGACCACAGGAGAATTTGGATGGGAAGGGACCTCGGGGCAGCCATGAGGTCAGACCAGCTTGCTCAGGGCTTCATCCAGTTGAGGCTTGAATAACCCTTCCAGGATGCTGGCTGCACAACCTCTCAGGGCAACCTGAACCCTTGTGAGACTATCCTCGTGGAGAAAAAGTTTATCCTTATGTCCAGTTTGAACCTCTCATTTCCTTCAGTGCCTGTTGTCTCTTGTCCTCCTACTAGGAACCATCATAGGGAGCTTAGTTCCATCTTCTTCATAACCTACCTGTACTTAGTGGGGATTG